AGAGACTTTATGGTGCTGTGAATCCTGTTATCTTGATTTATGTCTCACCAACATCCCCATGTCCTTATAGGACCGTTGCCGTGGTGTCTCACCATAACTCGAACGGGAGAAAGCGAAAGCGAAGCCAGTGTGCCGTTGCGTGTGGTAGTGGCATAGCAGTGGTGCAGGTGGCGATACATAGTCGTCTTGGCATGTGGTTTTGGTGGTGGTGGTGGAGGTGGTAGTCGTAGTGTGTGGTGATGGCGGTGACATTGGAAAGCGGTGATACTGGTTGCGGTGGCGCTAGTGGTGGTTGGTATCTACATAGCTGCAACTAGTGCGGGGCAGATCTAGTGGGGTCGGCCGAACCAGTCCGAACCACCAGGTCCTTATAAAATCGAGGGGACGTAACCTCTGCCGAACCACCAGCAACGTTTATGCAATGGGGGGATGGTAACCTCTGCCGAACCGCCAAATCCTTATTAAATGAAGGGGGTGCCCCCCGTTTCCTTATAAAAAACCGTTTCATATGGAGGATACCCTACCCCATTTCATAAGGCCTATCTGGAAGGGGATCTCGAAGCCTCGCCCTACACAGCCGTAGAAGCCCAGACCCCGCTACAACCCAAAGATTAGCTGGTTAGCTGCGCTTATTCCAACAACCGAATGAAGGACCTTGTGGGTACCCCTAAATGTTAGAATCCCTCAGACTCAAACGTATCTATAAATGCCGAAATCCTACGCCCTAAGCCTCCCCATGGATTGGCTACACAAAGTATCAACACGAAGCTGAAAACCTTGACCAACGAACCCTAAGATCTAAACACCCCAACCGGATTCCTTGGCAAGCTCCGCAATCTTGCTGACTCGGCTGAAATCAATGTCTGTGGCAGCAACTGTTTCTTTTGCACAGTACTGGAGCAAACGGAGAACGTCACCCTGGGCGAGGATTGTGGCCTTCTGCCCCATCCACTGTCTCAGCTCAGTCTTGGTGCTGGCGATCCCCTCGCACGAGGATTCGAAGATGGCTAATCCCTCCAGCAAGACGTCCACACAGGAGGTATTCCTAGCCAACCGGGAGAGGTCTCCCTGCATCAATGCCTTTGCTGCGTCAGCGAACTTCTTCGCAAGAGTGAGAGAGAATTCGCGTGCTTGCGCAGCACGCAACGCATCCTTCAACTCTCGGAAGACTTGCAAGCACTGAACCAAGACTGGTTGCGAGGACTCTTGCTTCAAAAGCGATTTCATCTCCCCAATTTTCTGCTGCGCAAGCACGACTTTGCTGGCTGTGCGGATAACCTCCTCCGTCTCCTGCTTCCAATAGCCGTCTTCCACAGCCAGGTAGTTCCGGATGTTCTTCTCGAACGTACCCCTGCCTTGGAAGGTCGCGAAAAAAATCACGTGCTTCGGCTCCGTGGTGACCCCTGGGACCTCTGGCTCGATGGCCATGAGGTGGAGGAAACACTTGAACAAGGTCTCCAGGCGATCGAAAACATTGAAGAGGTTGCCAGCCACTTCCTGCACACATGCAGGGGGATTCCTGCGGAGTTCACGAGCCTCGGGTGAGCACAGGCTTCCAAGCATAGATTGGCAGAGAGCCGCCAGCGGAGCCACGGCTACAGCCCCGAGCTTAAGCAGCGCCAGAAACGGGTCTGCCACCATGCTGGATAGCAACTTTCTCGACAAAGCCTGGCACAGCAGCTGCGAGTTACACATGGGGAATTACTTCAGTTGTACATGGCCCAAGTTAGCAACTCCAATTTGCTAGTTTGGGTTGGGAACCCGCCTTAGCCCAGATGTCGGATTGGAGACCCGCGCCGCCATTACTCCGTGGTCAGAAACCAATTGGAAGCCAATCGTAATTTAGCACCGCATTCCAACTTACACGAAGCACTTAAGTCGGAATTCGGATAGGATAACTCGCTGCGCTTCCATACCAGCGACCCCTTGAACTTAAGTTTGGATTGGACAACCACAAACAGAATCCATACACCGAATGCCCTAAACCTGAGTTTCGATTGGATACCAGCAGAAACCCCTCGGAATTCCGTATTCGACACCATGCGAATCTCCGCACCCAGGGGCACACCGGATCGGATAAAGGAAAGGGAAAACCGCGCCGAATCCGTTCCACAAACGCCTCCAATCTGAAATCCATTTTAGATTGGCAGATTATTAATTTCAATCTGCGATGACCTGCCTACCTGACCTACAAAGTTTGCAGCACTACCGCATCCGCTAAACTGGGGGGATCCTGGGGCCCTCAATAACCCTAAA